TGTGTTGAATTGTGACATTACAGTTACTAGATGATGCTACATCATGATCAGCGAAGAGCAAGAACAGACCAGATCCAAATTCCTTTTGATAAGCATTTCCTTTTCCACCATATGATGCTGTGATGCTACAGTTATTAATCAATGCATTCCTTGGATTGATAGCAAGAATAGCAAAACCATAATAGTTAGTAATAATAACCTCATCAATGAGTAATGTATTGATGTGAAGGAATACCAAAACGGCTGAATGATACTGTGAGAAATACATTGGAGATGTACTAGAATTGATTGACTCCATTGCAGCTAGTCTCTTCAATTGTTCACCACAGCCTCTGAATACTAACCTGGTTAAAGTCAGGCTGTGTATATTAGTGAAAGCAAACCCACTGTTTGGTGGTGTACTGGAATCATTGCATTGTATAAGAGCTTGCTTTGATGATTCACTGGTTAGTGTCAGTGAGTGGGTATGATTAATTACAGCACAAAATGATACATTATTGCTAATGAAGTGAGTGATGCTATCAGATAACACCAGCACAATATCATCATCCAGTGAATGAGTCTCATTACACAAGAACTCCTCCAACTCATATTCATTACTTATATTAATAATCTGCTTACTGGAAACTGACAAGAGAACAAGAGAGAGAGCAAGAATAGTCAAATACATTTTAACTGCAATGACTTGACAACTATTAAATTTTCATCCCAGTGATTTTATAAAGAGTCACTGTTTAGAAAACTGTCTTGCATACTGAAAGTATTCACTGTACACAGTAAACAATTCTGTTGCAACCATTTCAGTGTTTACTCATCATCTTCAATTGAACAAAAACATCCATTATTTTGTAGTCTAGTCCATGCCTTTGTCCTCTTCTTTAATGACAGCTTGGAGCTTTTGAATATTCTGATTTCCATACATTACATAGCCACACAAGCAGTTATTAAAAACCCTTCTTCTAATGACTTGTCCTTACTCTATAACTTCATCCCAAGAATTTCAAGAAATATAACCATGGCAAATTGTGTATAGCTATCTACTGTTAACACAAACATCACGATGATTGTAAAAACATGCCATAATATTAAACAGCTTGTTTTTTGTGAGGAATTCTAAAAAAATTCTTAATTGCTTGTTATGACAACGAGACTTGCTACGATCATTATACATGTAACATATGTTGTATGTACATTTACAGTACATTGTGTGCTCAAAGTAAAAGCACAAACACTTTTTGCTACCACCAACAAAAACAAGATTATACTTATATAAGCACAAAGTAGCATAACAATGCAAGAGCCCATTATTATTATACTAATGCACATTTTAAATATCATGTCCACTTTACAACAGCATATAACCAGCCACTCTGCAGAAGAGCTGGTTCTTTATGAATACATCTTAGATAAATATCTTATTTTTAAACTTGAATAATCATTTTTGTTATAATTACGTGCATTTAGTGTGCAAGTGATCTTCATGCTTGTAGGTGATACATGTATATATTTGCTTGTTTGCTTAAAATGTCAATTTATTTCTTTGAGCTTTCTAGAGAAGCAAGAACATCAGACATAGCCTGCATCTACACATACATGTACAGTACACAAAAGAGAAGAATTGAAAAGACAGAGAAAGATGTTGAGTGAAAGATTAACATTATGATCAAGTGACTGTGAAATTATAAGGATGGCTTTACTTTGTTAGCAGGACAAGAAGGAGTGTTCTTAGTAATAAAGACAGACACTTCTCCTTTATAATCTCCTACTAGAATGACATCAGAGTTATGAGAGAATTTGATGAATGTTTGCCTAGTGCCAGAGAGTGGCTTGTGTACTATTAGTGGATCAAGACTATACAAGAAGCAAGAGATACAAAATTCACAATATAAACTAGTTTTAATGGTCATTATTGGTTTGTATACATAACTAAGATTGTGCCTAAATGTGCATTATGACATTCATGTACATGTACATGTAATGCTGTTTATGGTATTGGTGCTTTTTAACTACAGTTTCTATTTTCTAACAATTTTTAGAAACTTGACTTGATTCAGATCTAAATTGATTTTTATAAATTTTTAAAGCTGCTAAAAATTTGGCTAAAGCCATGGACTAGTCTCTGGCCAGACTTGATCAAAAATAAAAAAGGAAAATTCTTCATTTATATAATTTTTCCCAATACAGATACATATTGCGTATATAGTTTGAGCTGGTTACAATCAAAGCTGGATTTAAAATAAAAATCAGGCCAAAGTCCCTGTACTGTAGTACAGGGTTGTCGGCCAAATTTTGCCTAAAATAGCTAGGAAAGAATTTCCCATTTTAATATCTTTTCTGATACATTTTGAGCTCATTCTGGTCAATATTGAATTTTTTAGAAAAATTTGAAGCTTAAGAAACAAAAAAATAATGATTACAAATCGTCAAATTCATTCACCATACATTTAATGTAATGTACAAGCAGCATACTTGTAGACAACTTACACATTATGTTTCATGTTCCATATCTCTATTCTACTGCCTCTCACGCAACCAAAGACTGTTGGGTCATGAGGAGACCAGTCAATGCTCCACACTGCCTCCTGTGAGCTGTGATCAACCAGTCTATCATCAGTACCTGTCTTCCTCCTGCCTGACTGGGAACCAGCCTTTACTGACTCTTGCTTCTGTAAGGAGAAAGAGAAAGGAGAAATGAAGAGATGGGAATAAAGATTGAAGGGTTAGATATACATACAATGTAGAAAAGGAAGAAAGATTGTAACATAAACACATGTACAAGCAGTGCAATAAAAACAGTGTACATGTACATGTATTTTTCAGCAATTCCAAGTTTATGATCAACTGAAAAGTGGATATGTACATGTGCAGGCATATGTACAGTACAACACACAATGCTTGTAAATCAGTTACTGTATAAATTACAAATAAAATATCGTATAGGGGTTATAATTATTTCACTGGTAATAAATTTTGTGAATTTCGCGTTTTCATTAAATTCCCCAAAAAGAGGTGTGGCACACTAGTAAAAATGGCTGCAGAAGGTAAGATTCGCGAAAATTTATACCAACAAATGGCAAATCTGAACAAATTCGCGAAATTTTATACCAACAAAATAAAACCCCTATATATACAGTAGGTTTACATGTACATGATTGCTAACTTGTGTGGCTTGGAAGGTGTGTAATGGTTTAGACTTGTCTTGGTGCCAGAGACAGATATTCCAGTCGCTGCTACAACTCAGAAACAAATCATTGAACAAGGAATGCCACATCACCCTATACACTGGACCCTGTAATATCACAATAACAAATAATAATAAATAACATCAAAATTATTATTAAAAAATAATAACAATAACAATAACAATACTAACAATAAATAAAAGCAGAAACAACATTATTATTATTGATAAATTATTTTTAAAATCGTCTCACGTTGTGTCCAGAGTATGTCTCCAAAAATTGCTCGTTGTAAGAGCAAGAACACTTGTGAATGAATCCTTCCTCGGTACATACCAGATAACTATAAAAGAAATAACATAACAACACTTGTCAAGACAACAGTTACCATGACAACTATTACCATGACAACTGTTACTATGGCAACGTATCATTGTCCTTACACGTTGGTGTCCATTACAATTTAATGTTTTTCATTAAAAAAATTTTTTAATAAATGCTAAACCATTACCATGACAACCGTTACCATGGCAATGCATCGTTGTCCTTACACGTTAGTGTCAGCAAAAGAGAAAGCGAAACCCATTCCAGGAGCATGTTGAGATATATAAGCTTCTTGACCAATGGCTCCTCCAACATTCCCCCCTCCTCCTTTCTCCTGTCCTTTACGTTTTCCTCCCTTTGCGTTCATCTTCTGCTGCTGCTTTGCCTTTGAGGATATGCTCTTCTTCTCGTTTTGCTTCGTCTGGAGGCGTCGTTTGAGTCTCATGAGTTGGAAGCTCTCGAAGCCTTTCCGTATGGTCCACTGAAGAACACGTCCATCGATACCGATTGATACTAGTATCTCTGAGGTATCATCACCCATAGAGTGCTCCTTCACTACCCAATCAATCTGCCATATTGGACCAGAGTGCTTGAATAATGCATCTCTAGAGGGAATTACATAAAAAGAGGAAAAAAGTGAAGCATGTTGTAGTACATGTACATGTATAGTAAGGAAGGATTACAATTTGTGAATTTCAAAGCTATTTACATGTACATGTACATCCTGTTATTTTTAACCATTGAGCATAAGTTTAAAACAACCAATCACTACAAATTTCAAAAATCTAGTTCCAAGAATGCATGTACAGTGTACATGTACATCTGCTGCCTATCTCGTCTTACATGTACATGTACATTATGTCTCTCAAATTCATGTACCATAATTCCTCAAATAGGGACACTGCTCAAATAAGCACCTATCACTAATATAATATTACCACTATAGATACGCATATTTGACCCAGTATCATGTACTGTTGTCTTAAGAATGGTCCAAATAGCCTAATTGTTCATCCTCAGTCTTTAGAACATAAAGATGCAGGTTCAAGCCTGGGTTTTGGCATTTTTCGATTTTATTTTTTGTGATTTTTGCCCCTGCTAAGCAATAAATGCATAGGCCCTTATTGGAGGAAATACAGTACATGTACATGTACATGTAATTACCTGCTACTGACCACTGGTTCATGAGAAGTGCTGCGACAATTATACACCAACAAATTACCATTGTACAGTGCAACCTGTATAGAGAGAATAATGAAAATTAATACTTTAATTCTAAATAATGTATTTTTATTCTCAGTAATTAAGATAGCTGCTATCTTTATTGTATACACAGGTACACAATACCACAAAAAGGCTATTAATACAGTGTAGTATAAAGGGAATACCCACTAATTGCCAGGAGGCACCAGACTGGCTATATCCTGCCATTACCTAAAGAGAATATGTACATGTACATGTACATATACATACATAATTATGTATATGTACATTATAAAAGAGAATACATGTACATATACATGTACATGTACATGTGAGTCTCATGACATAATACATCATTGAATAGAAACATGTACATGTGTACATGTACCCAAAGGCGAGTGGGTTGGTGACTACATGTAGACTCTGATTAAGGAAGGTGAGGTTAATCAACCGCCCACTGACAATACAGGAAGTACTACAGGCTATTATGTACATGTACATGTTGTAGACCTTTGCAACAAAATGTTAATAATTATTATAAAGCAAATTGTGTTACTTACACTCTCTCCTTCATTCTTAATATTCACTTTCAGAGTCACTTGTACATGTACATATACATGTACATGTACATTTACTATGTTCTGTATAATACATGTACATTTACTTGTCAATTTTAACTCAAAGTGTACATGTATACTGTATACTATAGGTACTATAATTATTATGTGCTATTATAGTGTTAAAAAACATGTATACAATTCTACATGTACTGTACATGTATGCGTACGTGTGTGTTATCTTACTGCTAGAAGGTTTGGATTGTGATGAGAGAAAGAGAGAGAAGTGACACCAGAAGGAGCATAGAACACTCTCTCGGGATACTAGAGGAAGGAAATGAGAAACAGGAACAGTCAGGGTTTTCTCACAAAGCATGCCAAGGGAGTTAAACAGTAAGCTTCATGCAAAAGCCTTTTAGAGCAACTTTAAAAATTCATAAAAAATCCAATTTTGATCGGAATCGGCTCAAACTTTATACACATCATATAAACATGTATATGTATCAGAAAAAGTTATAAAAATGGAGAAACTTCTTCTGGTCATTTTTGACAAAATTTGGCCAATGACCCTGTACTATAGTACAGGGGTTTTTATCTGATTTTGGAGTAACTTTAAAAATTTGTAAGAAATTTAATTTTAATCAGAATCTGCTCAAACTTTCTATACAACATGAAAACATGTATGTGTATCAGGAAAAATTATAAAAATGGACAAATCTCTCCTAGTCATTTTTGACGAAATTTGGCCAATGACCCTGTACTATATAGTACAGGGACTTTGGCCTGATTTCGGAGCAACTTTAAAAATTCAAAGAAGTGTGGACTATGCAAAAAAAAATTTGCAGAAAACCCTGGGGAAAGTGCATACACATACACATTTTTCACACATCATGTAAAGTATTAATGTATACATACATGTACATGTACATGTAGATAAATGTAGGGTACAAACAGTAAAATCAATTAATGCTTTTTTACTTCAGGATTCTTCAAAGACCAGCAGCAGACTAGGCCACAGTTCTCTTCATCTGACATGTTAAATCTACCATAACCAACGGCAAAAATATCCTAAAAATGAAACAAAATAAATAAATAAATGATAATAATAAATAAATGATAATAAATAATAATAATAATAATTAATAATAAATGGGTTTCTCCCCCTTTTCCCAAATCTCGTCTCTCTCTCTCTCTCTATCTTAATTCTAATATTAATAATAATAATAATATTGTTTTTCGTTGCTTATGTTGTTCTATTCTTCATTTTATAATAATAATAATAATAATAATAATAATAATAATAATAATAATAATAATAATAATAATAATAATAATAATAATAATATCAACATTACTTTATTGACAGTGTTCCATGCCATACAAGTGACTGGTCTTGATTTGGTCAGTGGACATTTAAAGCTCCACAGTTTGCTCAAGTGAGGAGCAGACACAGTGTACGCCTCTGAAGCACTGGTAGGATTATCTGGATCTATTAATAAATAATAATAATAACTGATGCTTCAGGCTTGCCTTCCATCACCTCCATTATCCTCTAACCCCCCCACTTAACTCTACTCCCCCTCTCCTCTTCCCTTTTCTTTTCTTTTCTTTCCCTTTTCCTTTCTTTTATTTCCTTATTGTAATTCCTCTCTCCTTTTTGTTTTGTCATTGTTAGTGTTTTGTCATTGTTATTGTTTTGTTTTTGTCGGTGTTTATTAGTGAATTAATAATAATAATAATAATAATAATAATAATAGTAATAATAAATAATAAATGATACATTGATTAATTCATTAATAATTAGGGGACAATAATGTCCCTCCAAAAATTGGAAATTGAATCTATTGAATGAAGCAGATGCTAACTACAGTGAGGTGCTTTATATACTGACTATTTGTGACAATAGCATCGTGGGTTGTCACACACCTGAACACACACAATCTAATGAATATCATTAAGTGGTACATCAAAGCGGTCACAGACTTGGGCAGCAACAAAAATAATAGCACAGGTACTTTTCTTTTGTGCTTTTGCTCTTATGCAGTAGATTTTAATTGCTCATTTCATAATACATACATGTACAGTAGCTATACATGTACTTTGACCATACGGTATCTACATGTACATGTACATGCATGTACAAATATAAGTACTGTACAATATCATTTTATTTACTTAAGATTCTACTACACTGTACATGTACAATTACAATGTAGCTCTTTAGGCTATACTACATACAATTATCATTTTTCACATACATACATATGTATGCCTATACTTTATACACTATTGTAATCTGGTTATTTTTAATGGTTATAAAATACAAAATGGAAAATTTAGGTGTTGGAAAATTTCATATGCTGCCTATTTATCTCAATATATTAATAAGGAAAATAAATTTATTAGCAATTCTAAATTTAGTATACAGTGTACCTCATTACTATATGAAAATTGCCATCACTCAAAATACTGCATAGAAGAAAATTTTGGAGATACATGTAGTTAAATTTGGTGAATTTTGTGTTTTGATTCGTCAAAAATAAAAATCTGCCATTTTGAGCCGTTATGCGCATGCTCAATGGCACATGGCCACAAATTCACCAATCACCAAATTTTAGTCATTCGCCAAACTTAACTCCATCCAAAATTTCCTGCTATACGGTATACAAGATTTACACTACATCTCTCTTACCAGGAAGCACAGGAAGATTCCTGTATCTAGCTTGCTTATTTTGATAGACATTTTGCGTGACTGCCCTCTCAACGATCCTCAGATTATCGACGAGACTATCACTCCTCAGTATCGGGTGATTGTTCGGTTTCGTCGGATCGAAAGCCTCTTCCTCTTCGAGCCCTTTCTTATCCTCGGGGTCAGTCACAACCACTCCAGGTACAACAGAGCTCGTAAATATGCTACTCATTCCACCTCCGGGCCCCATCACAGAGCTGGCTGTCGCCGAGGACATTTTCGAAGACATTTTAGTTTGAGGTCTCGTAGAGCCGGTCGGAGCTCGACTGGCGGCACGACTAGTCATGTGACTAGTCATGTGACTTGAGTCTTGGGTCTCAACTATGCAAGAAAGACACAAATAATTGTAATTAGTAACAAGTAACTTAATTAATGATGTACATGTAGTATATTGTAGTAATAATGACTAGAATAAAATTATTTAGAATTATTTAGTGTAGGGTTGGGTCTATACAATTAAATTCAACAAGCCCCTGTGGGGTTGTATGTGTACCACTATTAAAACACCAACATGTCAACCCTACACCAAGTGCTAATGATAACTTAATAATGATATACTCACTATCAGTTGGTTTCAATGCTGTCAGTGTATCATGAATGTCCCAGTCTGAAGCATACACTTCAACACTCTAAGAGAAAAAGGAGTGAAAGAAGGGAAAGGAGAGAGAGGGAAATTACCGAGAATAATACATGTACATGTACAATTACCTGCATAGGTTCTATAATTTCATGCATACATGTATATTTATACTACATATTACTTTATACTCACTTGCTTATGCACAGGTTCAGTTTGAACCTGTTTTGATTTCTGTGCTTCATTGAAAGTCCCCATTCCTCTCTCAGAGTATCGATCATTACCAACCCGATTCTTACACAGCTACACAAAGCACAATTACATGTGAAAGTATATTAGTGGCTATAATGGAGGCTTACCTCTTCATAGCGCTTGTTCTGTTGCTGGATGTTCTCTGCTTCATCGTCATCAAACGGAACAAAAGTGGAAGGAATGTCCAGTAGCCATATTGTATCAGTCTCTGTTAGATTAATGGTCACCTGCCAAGAAGATAGACTAAACAACTGTAGATCTAATTTAATAGAAACTTATGTACACGTACATGTACATATATTTACATTTGTATACATGTACATGTATAAGGTGTGATTTAATGAATAACTTTATTTTGTACTTGGCACTCACCAATGACTCTAAATCTTCAGGAGTTAGCTCTTCTGAGTCTACAGGAATAGAATAATAAGCACATTTAATTGTATGTACATGTACATGTGCATGTATACGTGTACATGTACATGTACATGTACATGTACGTGTATAATGATTACATAATTAGTAATGATGTGCTTAAATAACTGGAAAAAAAACTAGCAGTACAATAATAAACAATAATAACAATAATAATAATAAATGAACTTCTTGCTAGTTCACATCATTATGTATGTATGTATGCCGAAATATTTTTCTTTAGTTTTAGTTATGTACACGTACAACTGATGAAGGCCTTTGGGCTGAAACGTTTAGTTTCGTTTAAAAAGAAAAAAATTGATATTGCGGTTGCTTCTTATAATAGTGTCAAATAACAAGGAGTTTTTAAGAATTATTATGATTTCTAATAATAAAATTTAATAATTTATGATAAATAAAATTTAAAGGGTCACTAAATAAAATAGCCATAAAACACATTACCATCAGGGGCATCTGATTCTCTTGTCGACGGACGAGAGGTGGAGGATCCAGTAGGTGGTACCAGTCCTTCCATTCCAGACCCTCCCATAAATGACCCGCCCATCATACTAGTACCCATCACGCTACCACCCATCACACTACCACCGTCCATTATACTCCCGCCGAACATCGAGCGGACGGTCTGCATGAAGCTAGCATTTTCGAATAGCGAGGTAGTGTGACCGGAATCGGTCATCTGTAAGAAAGGGAGAGAGAGAGAGGGAGGGAGGGTGGCATAATAAGGTGGTACATTGTATTTTGTGAAGAGAAGAAGAAAGGAAATGACAATAATAATAAATGAAATAAGTTAAAGGAGAAACTACGAGGTTTTTATTTTGGCGAATGGCTATCAAAATGCCAAATTCGCCAAATTTAACTACCTCCAAAATTTCCTTCTATACGGTAATGTGTACATAAAATAATAATAATAAATAATAATAATAATAATAAATAATAATAATAATAATAATAATAATAATAATAATAATAATAATAATAATAAGTTAAGGTAAGAGTTAAAGTGAGGGAAGGAGGGGGGCAAATAACTCACACTAGTAGTGTCACTTTGATTCCTCCTAAGACAAAAAATAAAACAATTGGCATTAAGTTAACAATAAAAACAGTACTAGATCAATATGATGTACATGTTCAAGCACCTACATGTATAAACATACATGTATAATGTACATTGTATGTTCTATAATTATTAGGATTTACTTGTAAATTTTAACTCAGGGACGCATACATGTACCGTATATCGGGTATATTTCAATGCATCAATAATTTCGGAAAAAGCAAACCATTGCGAAAATAAATATTATGAAATTTTAAAATATGCGGATAAAAAGGAATAGAAGATATGTGGTATTGTGCAATTATTATGAACACATGGCTTCATAACTATCCATGGCTACATTCTATTCTAACTCGAAGGCCATAAAGAGCCTTCTTTGCCAGTTAGAAGTGTTGCTAAGGTTGATTCAGAAGTGGAGAAGTCAGCAAATGCTTCGATTGACTTACCAAACCAGGTGGTTGATGGAAATAATAGCAAGTAAAATATTTTCGGAATATAAAAGGCTTCCGAATTATTCCATCATTGAACTTAATATTTCCACGACTTTTCATGCATTGAAATATACCCGATATACGGTATACTGTATACGCATATACTCTTATACAGTGCATGCATACATGTACTGTATAAAAGTATTATTATTTTATTTAATAAAATAATTAAAAAATAAAGTTTAATAAAGTTTAATAAAGTTTTTCATAATGATAAAAAGCACTGTACTTACTTGACCCCAGGATCAGCCATGGCTCTTAACAATGGCTTGGGTGTGACGTCTTCTCCTTTCTCATTAATGATCGAAGCCTGAGCCATCTTAGCCTGGCTCCCTGACTGGAGCCCTTTACGATTCCCTGAAGCAAGGTTACCTCTCGAACCAATAGTTACTTTAGACTGACGAGAGAGAGAGAATTTTGAAGTGCTCATGTTGCCAACTCCACCAGTACGACTACTGGAACGACTGAGAAGGAGGAAAAGACATGTTAATTTGCAAGTGAAAAGGTAATTCCAAATCTGATGTACATGCATGATAAATGCATTATTATAATAAGTTAGGGCAGACCATCAGTATATCACATTTTAATAATTGTGGTTTAATTGCAGAATTTTATGATGAAACGAAGAAAAATCTTTTTATGAGCTAACAGGATAACTCTTTTCATTTACCTTCCGCTCTTGGAGCTACCAAACTCTGCCTTTCTGTCCATTTCTTTTGATTTTTCACTTTCAAGTTTTTACTTTGCTAAACTCCGCCCACAACCAAAATGTATATTTGTTGCGTAGCAACCATATGAATTTATGGAGGCGTGGTCTTCGCAATCAAACCACGCCTACAAGAAGAGCTTAATAAAAATATTCTTCTTGTAAAGTTCATGTTTGCACTTGTCGCTTGCAATCTCTTGCAGTCAGTCCTTCTCATTTATTCTATGAAAGTTCAAGCTCTGCTTTAAAGAGGTAAGACTTTTATTTTTCCTTGCTTTGCTGCCGTGAGATCCTGGGCTGTGGCTTTTATTACCACAGCCCCCTTTCTCCCAATACCCCTACGATATTAATCTTGCGAGTTATATTGGGCCGCAGCAACCTCTATGGATGTTTCATTTGAGTGCTTGTTACACAGTGAAATACTTATGCTACCATAGTAGTATTATTATTGCGTATTTATTGTAAAAGGGCATGAAGCATGTAGAGCAAATCCTTGTATTGTTATTATAAATTCGATCAAAGCACACACAGATTATTTCAATTGCTATCATCACTTGTATTTCTTTCCCATATTTAATGTGAAATTGACTTGTGTTTCACATACATCATACTGTATGTATATATATATATATATATACTGTATTTAGTATTATTATTACCATCACACTTAGCTTGCAAACAAATGGGAAAATTCCTCTTGAAAATTGACATATCACATACAAACATTGTCTACTTGAGATTGAATATAAATTCACACACACATTTTTTCAGTATAATAAATGTATATTTGCATATAATGCAAGTATAAGCAAAGCTAGACTCATATATAGATAATTTGTGTATAATATTTGCATAAAAGAGAGCCAATGTTGTCTCTCATTCTAATAATAATGATATCCTCCAGTTGATAGAAGGTTTACACTGTTGTCCGGCGATTATGATAACTGTTTATGCTTACCCACACTCACTCACATTTGCCGTATTTATCCTTCAATGCCTAACAAGCAGTCATTACTAATTGCCTATAATAATTATGATGTCACCCTGGAATGGGGGGGGAGAGAAGCTAACGGATTATTGTCAGCAGTTAAATGGCACAGACACGTATACCTGTTGATGATACAATTGTTATTGTATTTTTCATACCAGGATTTACTACGTGACCTAAGCCCCCAGTCATGCTTGCGTGGCATATTTGTATAAATCATTATTATTGTTTTTTGTTGTTGTTATTGTTTTTTGTAACACTGATATTACGTGTGGATAGACTTAGGATAAAGTGAAACACAATCAAGAGGTGTGTAATCATCCACATATCAATGATTATAATGCTATAGTACATCAACAGTTTTGTGCTTTACTGATATAGGTGTGTACATAATAGTACTCATATGACTTTTGTACACATGTACATGTACATACTTGGAACTCCTCATATTACATGTACTTTGTAGTAGATTAGAAATACTATTACAATTGTGATTAAATCAACTATTTGTCAGTTGGTACTACTGTTGCACATTGTTGCCATAAACTAAAATAATTATTGTACTCTTTTTAATGTAATGGCAGAATATAATGGATCACTTATAGTAAAATTACTACATATAAGCGTGGGCTGTCATTAAAATTATTATTTAATACACTAGTAGTATAATTACTATTCGTATCTTGTTCAGACTTGTTGCACACAACATGAATAATAATGTATGATACTTTAATTCTTCAAATATTAGATTTATAATGGATGGTCTTGATGAAATTATTCCTGGTTCTGCAAGTGGTTCAGGTTGCACTGAAGTTTTGGAATGCAACGGAGAAAGCGAAAGTAAAAATATATTATCATGTTAACCTACAATTATTATTATTATTATTATTTATTGTTATTTTTATCATTAATTTCAGGCAGTCCTGTACAATTTCCTCTCTGGTTGATCTCCTTGTTAGGCCTGGTTTCTCTGTTTCTTATATTCTGTATCATTTTGTGTATAGTCCTGTTATGCAGGTACATGTATAACTTTCTCTGTGTGTGTGTGTGTATTTGTGTGTTTATTTTATTATTGATTAAGTTAGTTTATATCCTCAAGCATGATAAGGTCCTGTTTATGTGTTTTCAATGTCAATCAAGCATGGCCTGTGTACATGTACATGTATGGTACATGTATGGTATGTATGGTGGTAGTACATGTATGTACATATGGTACATATGCATGTCGTGTACATGTACATGTATATATGCATGCATACATGTATTGCTTGCAGTAGGAGTTTATCGCATTGAGTAAAATGTGCATGCATAGTTTAATGATAATGTATTGTTTATGAATATTTGTTTTTTTGAGATTATAATTATTATTATTGTTATTATTATTTTTGGTTCAGGTTTAGTCGTGTTGATAGACCCAAGAAAAGATACGCGTAAGTTAACCGAATCACACACAGCACCTCATGCGATTGAATGATTGAACAATTTAAGACATTTCCACACTAGCACTTCTAATGTGCATTGAACTGGTTTGGAACTGGTTCCAGTCATTCCACACCTGATGCGCATTGACTTCAATGTGCATTAGGCCGAACCACCTCCATATGTGGTTTGAATGCGCATTCAATAGATAACCAATAGATAACCAATGACAGCTAGATCAGAAATACTATCAAAATATACATGATCCTGAAGATAGTGTGGAATCAATTGATGCGCATTAATGAGCTGACTTCTGGAACCAGTTTAAGTGTAGAAAGGCCTTTAAAGAATAATTGTGTAACCTCATTGGATTGTAATTTATCATTACAATCATTTTAATGTAATAATAATAATAATAATAATAATAATAATAATTTTGATTTTATTTCTTAAAGGTTAAGAGGTGATAAAAGACATGGCAGAAAAGCACATTGGAATGGTAATTATACTTATTATTATTATTATTATGTTGTTGTGTAATTATTCTTATTATTATTATTGTTATTGTTATTGTTATTGTTATTGTTTTTGCTATGTAGACATCCTTAATGAAATACATGTACTTAAAACTAATCGTTCTTATTAATTATTATGTTGTGTACTATTATTATTATTATTATTATTATTATTGTTGTTGTTGTTGTTGTTGTTGTTTTTGCTATTTAGACATCTTTGATGAAATACATACAAACTTTAAGACCAGAGATAAGAATGACAATGAAGACATTGGGCCTAGGAGCTTTCAAGCCATTCCAACCGTCAACTCATTTAAAGCTAAAAGAACACAAGAAGAGACAGCGACATTCATCAATGAAAGAAGAGAAGATGATGAAGATGAAAACGAACTCTCCATATTACCTCATCAGGCTCGTGGTGATTGTATTATAGTGGAAGGGGAGAGACAGAGACCACTTGCCGTACAAGATCCAACCTATGACAGACTGGCTGGCACCGGTAATAGTAATAATACTGACAGTGTCACTGTCACTGCTATTGAGAGACAAAGTGAAAATGAAAGTGGAATCAAGGAAGACATTAATAGGTGAGAGATTTATTAGGCTGCAAGTTTAATTTACTTAATGTGTAGCTTCCTATACATAGAGAATACAATTCCTTATTTGTACTGTGTATATGCACAATGGGTTTTTGCTTGTCACGGATTTTGTGACAATGGAACCAATGGGTTTTTGCTTGTCACGGATTTTGTGACAATGGAACCAATGGGTTTTTTTTGCTTGTCACAGATTTCATGACAATGGAACCAATGGGTTTTTGCTTGTCACGGATTTTGAACAAATGATTTTTTTGCTTGTCATGGATTTTGAACAAATAATTTTTTTTGCTTGTCATGGATTTCATGACTCATCCCAAAATTCTACAGAGCTAATGCAATAGTTCTGTACATTATAAACCTAGCTTTGTAGGTCTTTATAATCATGTACATGTACATGTATTTCATCTTTCTTTTTATGCATAGGAGGAGTACAGTTATCAGCTCCCACCAATCACTAAACAGGACAATCCCCAAGAAAGAAGAGAGAGATTACGATGATGTACTAACCTCTTCAATGGGTCCAGGGCGGAGACTAACGACTCTCAGCAACGAATCAAAAGATCGGAATTCACTCTATTACATATACATACCTAAGGACGGTGACCACCCCATGGACGACGTTTACCCTGTACCAAACACTCAAGAAGACTTGATAAAGTCGCAATCGTCCATCGATCAAGTACGTACGTATTGCAACCTTCATAGTGGCTCGTTGGATGGAATTGATGACAAAGCGCTGAAGGGTAGAACTACACTAACAAAATCTGTGGATTTAGATGCTATGGCTAGTGATGCAGAGAAAGACTCATCTCAAACAGGACTTGGGCCTACATACTTGAAAATAATCCCTCCTAAAGGTGGGAGTGAGACTTTATCTCATTATGAGTTTATTGACGACGAATCTAAGGGGCTAAACCCTACCGATCAACGTGAGTCTAGGGTCTATCAAGCTATTGACGACGACTTAGTCCAAAGTCAAGCTGAACCAACTCAAAACGTGTATACCTTGCCAAACGAGTATGACGACATTAAGGGACAACCGCCATCTCGTGACATTGACGGAGACACAGCCGAGCGCTTGTATTGTAATATTGACGATGGGTCACCTTGCTATGATGATGTCGATATTTATACTGTCCCGACCGACCCAAGTCAACCAGGGAGTGGCGTCGCGAAAGGAAAACACAACTCGATTTATTACACTAGCATTGATGACCTGAGAGAGGAAGGAGGGAGTGGGGGTGGGAATGATACAGGAGGTTATAGCTATGCAGCCACTCATGAGTTAGTCTCACCTTCGGGACACTCCAAAGGCGAGGAAGAAAAGGGAGAGATAAAATCAGATGCCAGATTTACTAACGATTCCGGCTACACGTATGCAGCTGGGCTTCAGCTTGTAGCTTTGAAGCCTTCCATGGGCTCGGTCAAAGAGAAGCCGAAAGAACAGAGTGTTCCTAATCCATTGTACTCCACCAAAAGTCTATCACTCCCTCACGACCACAGCTACGAAAACACAAATAGGTTTTTACCGCCGAGACGTCACAGTGAAAAGGAGTATGTGACCCCAAAGACGCAATGGTTTAGATCAGGGTCGCTCAATGATATACTAGACATTGATAAATCCCCCGAAGAGGATGAGAAGGAATATCTGGAATCATCGAAAGAGTGGGTCAAGAAGAAGAACAATGGACGCTTTCAGATTGATAGCGATTCCTCAGCTTATACCCCAGTAATGGCTAGACTAATGTACAATCATGACTACATGCTGCCTAGTACTGTGAGCCACTCTCAACCGGCTGACTCAGAGTTTGAAGCAAGTACGCATCATGCTGATTGGGAAATGCCGGAGAAATGGAGGACCATGAGTCTAAATGCTTCTAAACAAGGCGAGGAGAAGAAATCCAAAGGAAAGAAAAAGGATAGTATTAAGAAGAAAAGTGAAACTCCTGTTGGAGGTGTTTTTGATGAGAAGCACAAGTATCAAAACTGGAAAATGTTCAATCAGTCAAAATAGTCACCATCTCATTGCAAGTTTTATTATAGAAATTAATAATAATGGTATTGATAATCTATACCCGTTATTATTATTATTATTATTATTTACTATTATTATTATTATTATTATTATTATTACTAAAGCACCAGTAGAATTGTATATCCTTTATGTACTGTGATCACATGTAACTTGTTTTTCTTTCCAATTCCAAAACGTTTTCACCTCACACTCAAAGTTCGATGTTTTTACTTGTACAGGATTGCTTACAATTAGCTGCATTGTACCATCATAATTATGTACACATTTAATTTTCTATTCTTTATCTATTTTTCGACTATCTCATTTAGCACAGCCATGCACATTCACATTGACTTTTATTTGCATTAACACGACATCCACTATACCAGTGGCACCACAGTGTAATTGCACTTATTTATTATTTTTATTATTATTCTTATAATACATTAGCAATAACAAGTGTAACAATCTCTATCAGACGTAGTTTAGTGTCCACTTTCATCTTTTCTTTATAACTTCTCAAGTTGTGAAGAAGCCTCCGTCAGACTTTCGCGAAAACCCACGATTAGTTGCCTCGGAGTGATGGCTCTCAATAGCAAGCCCTTTAGCACTGTTGACAGTGGTTTTCTGTGGATCGCAGTGCGTCACTAGCTCTTTCTCTTCTAGTGTCAATGGTTTGGGTGCTACTGGCCTATTCTTTAATACTCGTCCGTGAGGAAGATTAAGGGTTTCTGGTTGCATGAGTGTCTGAGCCTGGGACTTAAGGAACTCTTCGCTATGGTTGTATTGGCATTTTAGTACAAAGTCTAGCTTGTCGTTTGGAGCCTTTGGGTCGTAGTAGTAAGCCTGTCTACGGTAGCTGGAAAGTGTTGTGGATTCATTGAGCCTAGACCATGGGTCTTTCTCTCCTGGGTTGAGGTATAGGGTATCCCCTCTTTGGAACTCTAATGGTGGCGTCTTTGTAAAGTTCTTGTCGTTTTCTAACTTTGGATATGGATAAGGATCTCGAGTGGCCATGTTATGCTAGCGAGGCTTGAAAAAATGCTTACAGTGTTAGGTTGCCATGGTATCTATGGGCGTGTCTTGGAGTTTAATTAAATAATTAAAGCAATTTTCACGTGGCCTCAAGCAATTCTCTCTCGATTTCTGTCTTTAGCCTCATGGCTCGCACATACGGCTATTACAAAACTCTCAGTTGGTGTTTAGCATTCGTTCCTGGTGGAGTTGGATTTCTTGTAATATTAGCAGTGGCATTCCTTTTAGTAGCTGTTCCATGGAATTACCTTAAGCCAGAGCCATTAAAGAAACTGGATAAAATCAAGTCGAAGAGGACTGGGTGTTGCAGTTGCAGTTGGTCTGGTCTATGTTCTGATACGTTAAAAGGTGTATTGCAACTCACTGAGAGATGCAGCCACTATCTGTTTGAAAACGATTCCTTGAAAATTCAGTCAAGCAGGAAACATGGCAGAATCGTTATTATTAGCGGCCGTACCTTTAAGTTATCATGTGGAGTCCTGTCCTCTCTTGTAATCTACAACTGCATTGTATGGGGCATTATCATCTCGGTTGCTACGAACTATCTCATACTTCAGGAGACTCCACACTGCAATGATAATTATGATTGTTTTACGGTGAGCAAAGATACAGTCAATAGCGCACAACCTCTAGCTATAACTGCTCAGAAATAAATGATGATGGCAGTATAATAATGTGTTATTATATTGAAGCTAGGCCCGAAGTTGCTATTGCACTTGTTGGTGGATTTCTCAAAATTGTTCCACCCATGGTCTTTTATGCTACTACCATGCTCTACTTGATACTGTTAAAGGACTTCCACTTGTCAATTAAAATCGCTATCAATGTCATGTTGTTTGTCTTTTTTTTTGGTGCACTTACTGCGATATCAGTTTTCACTGGTCTGAGGCTGATCTCATATATCTATGAGAATGAAGAAAGAGCTGCTCAAGTGATTGTGTTTCTTCTTCTCTGCATTTGTTTTACTTGCTGGCCATGGTATGTATTTGAATCGGCTAAAGTTGAAGAGGAACTTCAGGAGGATCGCCCAGATGAGAGGGATCATGAGATAGAGTCTCAAAGGAATGGCCCTCGACAGGTGATTGATGAATCTGATGATGATTCTGAAAGTCTGCAGACAAATTTATTAAATTAGCCATGAGCAAAGAGGCAGGGGATGAAACTATTATTAAATTTGCAGTAGTTAAGTTTAATAGCTGTGACTATAGATAGTGCACTACTTTTAAAACTAGTTACAACTTTAATGTGCTGATTTTTTGATTTTGAGTTGATTAATTGTCATTTGCATTATGAAGCTTGTTTCTCTAGGTCATTCAACTTTAATGCACTGGTTTTTTGTTTTGAGTTGATTACTGAATTATCATTTACATTATATAGCTTGTTTCTCTAGATCATTTATTGTTATGAAACATGATACTTTCACACTTTGCAGTGATTTTTGATTATTAATTTAATCATTTATATATTACCGGTATGAAGCTGTCATCTAGTGTTATGAAACATGATACTATCTATCAAACCACAAATTATTCATTAGTTTCTCAGCAAGGCGTTGGTGGTGTAATGGTCAGCATTGTTGCCTTCCAAGCAGTAGATCCGGGTTCGATTCCCGGCCAACGCAGTGCTTTTTTTTTATTTTTAGTAATTTTTATTGTTTGAACAATGCTTTTTTGGAAAAACATGTCTCCTGGAAGGAAAACAGCTTTATTTTTTGCTTCTGGGGGACTTCTAGCTACAATAGCATACATTTCTAGGAGAAGAAGCTACAAGAAACAAGCAGAAAACATACCAAAATCAGAGACAGCAGAGAAAAGGCTAAAATTCACAAACAAGACAGTGCTAATCACAGGAGGAGCTGGTAACATAGGGGCAGCCACAGCCCACGCATTTGCCAAGGAAGGAGCAACTCTAGTACTAGTTGACCTGCCACGATTATGTGGAAAGATGAGAGAAGCAAGAAAAGGGCTCCTTTTAGAGGGTGCAAAAGAGGTCCATGTTTTAGGAGCAAATGTAAGTAATTCTCAAGACGTACAGAGAATGGTCTCAGAGGCTCTGAGTGTGTGTGGGCGTATTGACTGTTTCTTTAATAATGCTGGCATACAGGGAGAAATGGTACCACTTCACGAGCAGTCAGATGAAGAATTTCAAACGACAATCCAAGTTAATTTATACGGAGTGTTTCTGGGAATGAAGTACGTGTCACGAGCGATGATGATGTCCGATAAAAATGGAGGGCCAGGAGGAGGAGTCATTGTCAATACTGCAAGCATGGCGGGTCTGATCGGGCCCGGAAACATGGCCGCCTACGCTGCATCGAAGTTCGGAGTCGTGGGTCTAACAAAAACCGGTGCCAAAGACCTCGCACCTCATAACATCCGAGTTGTTGCCATAGCACCCGGTCTCGTTGAGGGATACATGTGGGACAGGCAAGTGAGGTTGCGGGCATTATTTAGGAAACGTCAAGAAGGGACAGAGGAGGAACCAAGCGAGAGAGAGATTAAAGAACAAGAGGCCAGGATGCTGGCAGCAACTCCACTAGGACGTGTTGCTAGGCTATCAGAGATTGCTGAGGTGGTCGTGTTCCTCTGCAGCGAGTCCGCTTCATACATAACTGGATCTGTGATACCCATAGAAGGAGGACGGTTACAATAGTTTTTATAGTGAAAGTTATTAAACACGTGTTGTCACGTGTATGTTAAAAATTACTAATTATCCACGTGTTGTCACGTGGGCAGTTTAGCCCCTCCCCTCATTCAAAATGGCTACATGTTCAGAGTCTTTTGTCGGAGAAGAGCTGGAGCCTACTCTCTCTAATGTACTGGAGCAGTCTTCATTGAAATGGATATTTGTGGGTGGCAAAGGAGGCGTTGGGAAAACGACGTGTAGGTTAGTATTATATGAAGCTAATGATTATTACAAAATTTTAAAGTTTATAAAATTAGTTACTGGGAATTTAATGGTTTTTGGGTATAGATATAATGCATAGAAATGGCTAAAAAATATTTTTTAATTTATCAAATTTATTAGACTCCTCAGAAAGTTTGGACCAATCAAATTTTTGAGTTTATGTAATAAACTTGATAATAATTGTAATATTTAATAATTGATTGTTAATATTTTTAAAAGTATTTAGCTTGTAATATTTGGCCAAGCTTTTCTTGATTTTTATGGCCAAATGTTAAACCTTTTTTTACAATGTTCTTTTAGTTGTAGTTTGGCAGTCCTGCTCTCAAGAATAAGAGAGAGTGTCCTCCTAATATCGACTGATCCTGCTCATAATCTCTCGGACGCTTTTGATCAAAAATTCTCGAAATTCCCAACTCAAGTTCAAGGCTACCGGAACCTCTTTGCAATGGTTGTCATTTTGTTTGTTTATCTTTGTTGTTTACTTTGTTGTTTGTTTGTTTGTTTGTTGTTGTTGTTTAGGAAATTGATCCTGAAGTGATGGATAAGAATGAGATTGAAGATGGAATAAGTCAAGCTGAAGGTTCGATATTATCAGTATAATAATAATAATTATTATTATTATTGTATTTATTTTGTTGCATGGCTATACCGTATAGAGGGTTTTTCGAGGATAATAATTTTTGCGAATGACCCGTGTCTAGAAGTTTGTGAAATTAATTTTTGCAAATTAATTTCCACTATTCTGCCATCTTGTACTGCATTGAAATTGATTTTCAAGTAATTTAATTTCACAAAATCTTGAAAAATTTGCAAAATTCTCAAAATTCTCGAAAAAATACTGCTATATGGTATTTTGTGTAATGGTTATCATTTAATACATGTAGGTGGTATAACTGGTTTAGCAAAAGAGCTACTGGAGGATCTGGCTGGCTCTTTGCCAGGAATTGATGAGGCTAAGAGTTTTATACAAGTCATGAGGTAATGGTAACTGCAATGATAAATATGCAACTGCATACTACATTAATAATTATAGCATAAGTACATGGTAGATGTATGTGCTTACTATTAATTATAGAACATGTGTGATTGTAGTGTTAATTTTAAAATGATACTTACACATGTAATGCATTATTATGGTTTACACACGGGACAAAGTTATGAGCTTTCTAACAGCAAGAGAACATCGAGATACTGTCTAAAGACTTCTCTAGAAGCATTAGAAGGTAGAGAGAACCTCTATAAGTCTTAATAATGACCAAGTTGTACTTGCAAGGTGGTGAAATCAATTATAGGAATATTTTTACACTGTTATGCTTGTTATTATTATTATTATTATTATTATTATTATTATTATTTATAGTCTTGTGAAGGAGCTACGATTTTCTGTCGTTGTTTTCGACACTGCACCCACTGGCCATACACTCAGATTTCTCTCAATGCCACAGATGTTTGAGAAAGGTGTCGCCAAAATAGGAGAGATTAAATCGAGTTTTGGACCAATCATAAATCAGGTCAGCACCGTACAAGATGATTTATTGGCGAGGAATTAATATTGGCGATTGGCGGTTCTATGAAGTTGCCAATATAAAATCCGCCATTTTGTTTTAATCTGAGCATGTTTAATGGCACGTGGCACAAAATCACCAATATTTTATCTGCCGATTAACTTTCCACAGGCAAATTTGCCAAATATTACTCCCGCCAATAAATCATTTTGTACGGTACTTGTTTTCTAGTAGTAAAGTTGCATGTTTTCTTATGTTTTTTGCATGTTTTGGAAAGTTAATCTGCCAATTAACTTTCCACAGGCAAATTTGCCAAATGTTACTCTCGCCAACAAATCATCTTGTACGGCATTCATTATTAATTATTATTATTATTAATATATTTTTTTGATAAAGATATAAATGTTAAAATTTAGTATGATATTTATACATTATTAAGTACTATTATTATTATTATTATTATTATTTTGTTGTTATAGTTGATCCCTGCTATGGGAATGGGTGACTCTGAGAGCGTTCAGAGCCGATTATCAGAGCAGCTACCAGTAATACAACAGATTAACAAAGAATTCCGAGATGCAGTAAGTATAGCCTAATACTAGCAATACAATACATGCTTTCATTCCTATTTTTGATGATAGAAATAATTATTAAGAATAATAATAATATTTTAATAATACCGTATTTGGAGGGAGCTAAATTTTGGCGATTTGCTAAATTTTAATTTGGCAACCATGTACCATTGAGCGTGGCTCAAAATGGCGGATTTTATTTTGGCGCCAAATTTAAATCCTCAAAATTTCCCGCTATACAGTAGCAAGAGTACATAATATACTTTTGACAGTAGTAATGATATTTGAATTGATATTTATATTTTTGAATTGATATCGTAATGATATTAAATGATGTTTGAGATTTTTGGTATATATTTGGTATCAGCAAAGAATTGTTATTTTGTAGGAGAAGGCAACATTTGTGTGCGTGTGCATTCCGGAGTTTCTCTCGGTCTATGAGACGGAGAGACTCATACAGGAGCTAACTAAAATGGACATTGACGTACACAATGTTGTAGTGAACCAAGTACTCATTCCAGACAGAAACGAGAGAGGTAACGACACTTATACACGTGTTCTTGTGTTATGTGGAAAGTTTGAGCTCATTTTGACAAAAATTTCTGAGTTATTAGCATTTAAAAATGGGTCAATTTTTGAAAAATACCCAAGGCTATAGGCCATGGTTTTTTCCAAAAAATCGCTAAAAAATCACCCCCAATTTTTATTACTTTTTTGATCTATATTGATGTCCTTATGCTATGTAGAAAGTTTGAGTTGATTCCGACAAATATTTTTCGAGATATGAGTATTTTTTTTAAATGGGCCAATTTTTGAAAAATACCCAAGGCTATAGCCCATGGTTTTTCCCAAAAAATGGCTCCGAAATCACCCTAAATTTTTATTACATTTTCTGATGTATATCGATGTCCTTATGCTATGTAGAAAGTTTGAGTTGATTCCGACAAATATTTTTCGAGATATGAGTATTTTTTTAAATGGGCCAATTTTTGAAAAATACCCAAGGCTATAGCCCATGGTTTTTTCTAAAAAATGGCAAAAAAATCACCCCAAATTTTTATTACATTTTTTGATGCATAATGATGTCCTTATTGCTATGTAGAAAGTTTGAGCTCATTCTGACAAATATTTTTTGAGTTATGAGCATTTTTAAAAACGGGCCAATTTTTGAAAAATACCCAAGGTTATAGCCCATGGTTTTTTTCCAAAAAAGGGCTAAAAAAATCACCCCAAATTTTTATTACATTTTCTGATGTATATTGATGTTCCTATAACTGTAGGTGATATTGTGTGTAGGATGTGTGCTGCAAGACATAAAGTACAGAGCACCTACCTTGAACAAGTGAGCCTTTAACTACATGTACATGTACAGTCAAACCTGTCTCTTCCGGACACCTTGGGACCCAATAAGTAATAACCACCCCTCCTGATTATGGAAGTATCAGTCCTTATGTTAGAGTTCTATAAATAACTGTATTCTATTAATAACTGTGTCCTTATTAGCATTGTGCTAGTGCAGTACTAAAAGCATTGAATAAGATTCAAAATTACATTCATTGAGTTAGTACTACAATGTATCTTCATAAATTAAATCTGTAGTTTATGCATGCCTATATAGATGTGTCAACTGTCAATACTCAATAAGACTTTAGACAAAAATTATTTAGAAATTCCCCCAGTAGTGTGTAGTGTATTATTAGAGCCTAAATCATTAATCTTATTTAAATTTCAATTTCTATAGATTCATGAATTGTATGAGGATTTTCACATCGTTGAATGTCCACTGCTTGAAGGAGAAGTACGAGGTAAAGAAAAACTGGAGGTTTTCAGCAAATTACTAGTCAAAAAATAATTCTACAAACACGACAGAGAAATGATTATTATTCACAAAAATAATAATAATAATAATAATAATAATAATAATAATAATGTCATGAGTGAAGAGAGTCTGTATAAAAATTTTTGTAATTATTATTATAAAATTTTAATAATAATAATAATAATAATGCATGGTTCTAACAAAAATAATAATAATAAGCACAAAAAAAATTATTATTATTCATAATAATTAAAATAATAATAATAAGCACAACAAAAATTATTATTATTCATAATAATTAAAATAATAATAATAAGCACAAAAAAATTATTATTATTCATAATAATTAAAATAATAATAATAAGGTCAGAGCTGTTTTGGAAAAGGAGGGGAAAGAAGAGAAAATTTGAAAAATAAAAAATATCGAAAAGACGAATAAAACGAAGAGAAAATAAATTTAAAAAGAGAGAGAGGAGAAAAGTTGCTCTGTAACTTTTAAAATGAAACCAAGAGAAGATAGGAACTACTAAAGACAGAAAAGGATATCTAGGAAGATATTTGGAGAGACAAGAGAACTAAGGTGCTTGAATATGCTCCCGCTGCGTAGAAAAATAATACAAAAGGAAAGTCCAGAACAACACAAACAATCAAATTTTAAAAAATCGTTACATTCTTCTGGGCGGGGTCCCGGGGGGCAGCCCGGGATTATGACCCGGTCTCGGGGGGCGCATCGGGGGTCTACTAAGAGGGGACTGGGTCATATGGAATTGAGCTATTTCCGAAATTGTTGATACGAGCTCGCCAAACGAGGGGCGGTCCTCCGGCCTCCAGGACCAGCAGCGAAGCATTATTTCGTAAATTGCTTGGGGACACTTGTCTGGACGATCCAACCTTTCGTTCCCTTCAAGCATCTGCATAATGTCAGTACCACGCATCCCCTACAATAATGAATGTGAGATCTTATACGCACATGTACATGAAAAATAATAGATGCGAGTTTATACATGAACATGCATGTGTAATTGGCATAGTGCTTGTAATAGTGATAGTGTAATAGTGTAATGTAATTGTAATAGTGCTTAACTTTTAAGCCCAACATCCACTATGGCAACTTTGTGGTTACTTTGATGTACATGTATGTCAACTTTGTTGCCAAAAGTAGAACAGTGTTCTACTTTTGGCAACAAAATTTCTGTTGATTTCAACAAAGTTGCCTAGCGGATGTTGGGCTTTAAGGAGCAAAACTGTTGTCATTTTTGCGAATTAGCAATTGAAGACGCTGGCACAGTTTTCAAAGCGCTTTGATGGGCTTTGTTGATACAGCTGAAATAATGCGCATTGATAGTGTTCACACTAGCAGCTGGATTATGTATCATTTTGTGTTCTTGTTGCCATTGGTTTACATTGATCGAAGCGCATCACTTCACATCAATCCACCTCTGGAGGTGAAGTGAGACTGATGGGCATTGATGGGCATTAATTGCTAGCTCTGTAAAAATATTCTATCTTTTAATTGCAATCTAAAGCATATCAAGAGCTATTCTGCAAAAGAAAAATGCTCTCTAAAAATAAAGTGCCATTCACTGTAGAAGAATCCTTTCATGTACACAATGTACATGTACATGTATGCACAAATTAAATGTAAATGTACATAAAAGGTTTATTTATGGTTTTTTTAAATTTATCATTATATTTATTAATTTTTTTGTTGTACCTGATAAGGTTTGGCTCCGTATGAAAAAGCTTCCCAAGCAGTGACTCCGTAACTCCACACATCAGACTTGCTATCAAACTTTGCATAATAAATACACTCGGGAGCATACCACTTCAATGGCCACCGCCCAGCAGTCTCTGCCTATAAAGGTATAAGTAATGAATAAATGGTATTTTTATCAAAAATGGCTTGGAGAGAATTTTCCATTTTTATAATTTTTTTCTGATACATACATGTACATGTTCTTATGTTGCGTATCAAGTTTGAGCTAATTCCGATCAAATTTGGATTCTTTATGAATTTTTAAAGTTGCTCAAAAATCGGGTCAAAGTCCCTGTACTATAGTACAGAGTCTGGGGCCAAATTTCGCCAAAATTGAAAAGGAGAGAATTCTCCATTTCAAAAATTTTTTCTGACACATATACATGTTCTTATGTTACTCCTCAAGTTTCAGCTGATTCTGATTAAAACTGAATTTTTCCCAAATTTTTAAAGTTGCTTAAAAATTTGGCCAAGGAGCTAGGGCTATAAGCTTATGGTATTTCATTGAAAACAGCCAATAGAGATTTCTCCATTTCTATTACATTATCTAATACACATAACATTATGGCTGTGGTCTCTTACTCTGTAATATTCTGAGCCTCCTCCAATAGCTCGGGACATCCCAAAGTCGCTAATCTTAACATTATCATCATCAACCACTAACACGTTGCGGGCAGCAAGATCCCTGTGAACAAACCTAGTCTTTTCTAAATATTCCATGCCCTAAGAGTGAAGAAAATAAAATAATAATCATAATAATAATCATAATTATAATTAATAATCAGGGCTTCATTTAGGGGGGGTGCATGGAGGGGGCACCCGCCCCCCTGGGGGGACACTTGCCCCCCTTGGTTGACTTATTAACATGAAAAATTTCATCACCCCAGAAGTATGGATAAGTGTTGTGAGCACACATTGTGCATGCACATTAGAAAATATTAGTGACCCCCCTTTCCTTGAAATATTTTAATCCTACCCCCCCCTGTATAAAATCTTTCTACATCTAAGTGTATGCATTTTTAACCTGTTGTATTTCTAATTATTATACTTTTAACAATACTGATACTAATAATAACAACAACAACAACATTTGGTTTCTCTTATTTCTTGTTTTGTTCTTAGTGTATTTTATTGTGTATGTTTGTGTGTTGTGTTGTATAATAATAATAATAATAATAACAATAATAATAATTGTAATTCATCATTGTAAATTTAATGATAATTATTATAACAATAGTAGAAATAACAATAACAATTATTACTAATATCACAATAGCAATAATAACAATGATAAAGATAGCCTATTATTAAAGTTACAATATCAATAGCAAAACAATAATAAAGATAAAATTATAAATACATTTACACGTACATGTACATACAGTATAATACCTTAATGCAATAATACAATATTATGCACAGTATATATGTACCAGTACAAATGATAGCAGATTAGAGAACAATAATTTTGGGGAGATTGCTGATTTGTCAATACAGTAACAATTATTCCCACATGATCCATACAATGTGCCTTTGTCATTGAAAAATACCCTCCAATACAATACTCATCATAACAATCATAACAATTACAAGTAATTAAAGCATTCAAGTAAAATATGGTACAGTGATTTTCCTTAAACTTGCATGATAGACAAGCAGAAATGTGTTATGCACATGGTCTGTTGTGGTCAGGAATTAAATGGATGCACCTACTTAATACTGACCACTGCAGCTAGAGCATGTTCATAACACATTTCTGCTTGCCTATCATGCTAGTTTAAGGAACATCACTCTATATGTACAAGGTTTCTGCCTAAAAAATATTAGAGATATAGTCAGAGACAAATATTGCTCCTTTTACACCATACTAGTAGACTACAGTATCATGCTTTATCTATGGTTATTAGTATTAATTGGATGGTTGGTCTAAGTGATGAACTGGTTCGTTTATTTGTTGAGGTAGTTGTCCCGATCACCCCCGACCATCATAGGCAGGACTATGCATGTAAGACTAATAAAAGACTAAGTTTATACTGAATAATTCATTTAATGTAAAAGGCTCATAATTTAGTTAATACTTTAGCATAAACTTTATTTACAACACAATAAGGATTATCATTATTATAGCTATACTTTTATTATTATTAAGGAAATCAAAAATAAATTAGTAATAATAATAATAATAATAATGTACCTTGGCAACTTGTATAATCATATTAACAATCTTTAAAACAGGAAAACCGCTGGAGAGAGAAGGAGAGATCAAAAGAAAAGAGGAAGGAGAAAGGAAAAATATTAAACAAGTCAAAATATGATAGTAAGACTAACACATGCTTCCGTAGAAACTTGTTCAAAGGGCCACAGGCAGCAAGTTCCATCACTAGTCTAATTGGATCACCTACGCATATACCTGTGTAAGAAAAAGGAGATTAAATTTAATGATAATTATTAGAGGAGAAAGAGAGAGGGTGAGAGGGAGAGAGAGGGAGAGGGAGAGAGAGAGAGGGAGAGAGAGAGAGAGAGAGAGAGAGAGAGAGGGAGGGAGACAGAGAGAAAGATTACCATAAAGTCTAACTATATTAGGATGATCAAGCATGGCCATTGCATCAGCCTCTCTCAGTATCTCGGCTTTCTGATTCGGAAGCTCTTCCGTGGGTTTCAAAAACTTGAGAGCACACTTGACAGGAGGTTCCCCACTAAGAGGGCGGTACACGCCCTGCCTGACTGTACCAAATGTACCAGCACCTGGAAAAGGAAGGAGAGAGTAGACATTAAGATAGAATGATTAATGGTGATTAAGAAAAAGGAAGTGGAGACTGATAATACGGGGAAGGAGAGAGGGAAGTGAAATGAGGAAAATGAGAGATAAAAAGTCAAAACAAATACATGTAGTGTGTACCATATACTACACTTACATGTACATGTACATGTAATACTTACTCCAGTGTAACCTTTATAAGGAATAGGACAACTTTATAATGAGGACATTTGTAATGTACTAATTGGCACAACTACAATAGTTCCTCTGAAATGAGGACACCCCTATATAAAGGACAGGTAGTGTGGGCCCAATGGTGTCCTTAATAAAGAGGCTACACTGTACATGTAAAAAGGATTAGTAGTGTGGGCCCAATGGTGTCCTTAATAAAGAGGCTACACTGTACATGTATTAAGGACAGGTAGTGTGGGCCCAATGGTGTCCTTAATAAAGAGGCTACACTGTACATGTATTAAGGACAGGTAGTGTGGGCCCAATGGTGTCCTTAATAAAGAGGCTACACTGTACATGTATTAAGGACAGGTAGTGTGGGCCCAATGGTGTCCTTAATAAAGAGGCTACACTG